ATCACCTACCAACGGGGATCGGGGTTAGGGCTTGCCGTGTACGTAGACGCAAGCTACGCCGACACGGAGGATAGGCGTTCAGTGTCAGGATTGGCGACCACTGGCGGAGGTACCGTAGTCAGCTATGGTAGCAAGACGCAGAGCATCGTGTCTTTGTCTTCGACGGAGGCCGAGTACATTGCTGCCGGGGAGGGTGTCAAGGAGGCGTTGTTTGTGCGTGCTGTGCTTTCGTTTGTTTCCCCAGAGATCAGTGGTAGCAGCATCCAGGCCCTTGAGGACAACCAGGGGGCCATAGCGTTGGTGCAGAACCCCCTCAGCTCAGGTCGCACGAAACACATCGACGTGAGGTATCATTTCATCCGAGGATTGTTTAGGTCGGGGGATATTTCGGTCAAGTTTGTTCCGACAACGGAGCAACACGCGGACCTCCTTACCAAGGCCCTTAGCAGGGTCAGTCTGCAGTACCACCGGCGCAAGCTGATGAATTTGCCGGAGTAGCTGTAGAAATTTCTAGCACTTGGGAGAGGCCATGTTTTCCATGCGGAGAAAGGCGCATAAATGTTGCGGTCTGTGTACCAGTGGCAGGCAGGGGCGTTGGGAGACCATCGTCCGGGGGAACGTAGTTCCTCGCGTCCTTGTCTTCGCCTTGGCCTTTCGACTAAGTGCGGCCGTTGTGATCCGCTGTGATGCGACGGGTTTTTGCGGTGGTAGGGTTTTTCTTGAGGGGTTTTGCCCGGATGCCGGGTTTCCCCTCCATATATTACCATGTTGGTATTTTCTGATGTATCCTGGGGCGTTCTTGCCCAATTGATGGTTAGTCACTTGCGTGAAGAACCAGGGAGGGTGTTCGTGAGTCTGCGAACATTGCTGTTGGATACATGTGCTGGATGATTTTGTGTCACGCAGACTGGTAAGATAACCGTTTGATAGGGGGCACCGCGATGATTCACGGGGCCCCTCCTTGCTGTGGGAGCCGCTCTTTGAGTACTCCCTCTTTCGTCCGTGTGAAGGACGGTCGTCTACCT